TTCCCCGGGGCAGTTCCCGTCCCGAGAGCCGGGGGTGTCTCGGTGTCCCGGGGTGGACCGGGTGAGGGAAAGCGGGCAAAACAGGTGGTGGTAAGCAGGTGAGAACGGGGCAGGACTGGGCCARCCGAGGCCGTTCGCTCCCGTCTCCGGTGCCCGGTGCTGCCCAGGCAGTCACAGGTGGGGGTTTGTTTCCCCCGGCTCGGTGCGGGGCTCGCCCGGGCCCACCGTGACCCTCCCGGCGGATTTTGGCGCTGACCCTCTGAAGGGGCATCCCAGGATGGCACCAGGGGAACCTGGTACCTCTCACCCTGTGCTGCGGGAGAGGGGGACCTGCTGGAGCTGGGGGTCCCCGGCAGCTCCCAATTCCCAGCACTGGAGCGGCTCCTGCTGGAACCGTGACCTGGGGACCGCCCGTGGGGACTCAGCGTGCCGCATCTCCCACCCGGGACCGGGAAAGCTGGGGTTTCAGGGGGGAGCCGCTGACCCCTCCGTTCTSCCGGCACCGGCTGCTTTCCTCCGCCCAGCTCTGTGCCAGGGCAGGACAGACCCCTCCAGCCTGGCACGGGCTTTGCCCCCCCCGGAGATGGGATGAGCTCCAACTGGTGAGGATGGGAGCAGCTGCTGGGGGAACTGGTTTGCACTGGGCTCCAGCTCTCTGTTCCTGCCCAGTGACATCCTCAGGGCCTGGGAGCTGGAGCTGGCAGCATCAGGTGCTGCTCTGGGGGCTTGGGGGTGGCTCTGGGGCTGGCTRAAGCCCTGCTGTGACTGAAAACCTTCTTTTTCAGCTCAAACCGTGCCATGGTGGGAGTAGAGGCCACCCCAGGGATCTGCATCAATTCGGGCCAGTGACACTGTGATTCCCACTGAATACAGGGGTTGGTGACCACCCCGGTGGTGGCAGTCCCTCGGGAGGTGTTGGTGGCCCACGTGGCTATGGAAGGCTCARGCCAGCACCCAGGCAAGAATCACAACCCTGAGGCACCAAGGGACAGTTTTTTTGGGCAGCTGCTTCCCCAGGGTCCAGGATGGGGAGATGGATGATGGATTCCATGCAGCTGCTGGAGCTGAGTGGCACCAGCAGCACCTGGGAGCTGATTCCTCCCCTATAAAAGGCTGTTTATGGCCAGGATGGGTCAGGCCTGGCCGTGGGGAGGCAAAAGCCAAAAGAAAAATGCTCAYTGCTGTTTTTGGGAATGTGCTGTACAGTCTGGGAGACAAAATTAAAAGAGGTATGAGATCTTTTTCCCATCTGTTTTTTTGGGGTGGTTGAGGTTGATGGCTGGAATGCTGGTGGCCCAAAGCTGGGAAAAGCAGGGGAATTTTTAAATGCTTTCAATGGAACACTGGCCAGGTGAATGTTTGAACTATTTTATGCAAATCTGGGTTTTCAGTGCCTCAGGTAATTCCCATTGGGCTTTTCCCATCACAGCCCTGCATTCCCTGGTTTTAATGGAGTCATGCTTCCCTGAATGCCACCCTGGAATTCCTGCAGAGAGACCAGATAGGATGTGTTGTGCTCAGCAACAAGGATGGGGATTTTTAAAAAAAACAAACAATTATATCAGGGACTTTGCTGCTTCCTTCCCATTTTTGGGAATGGCTTAGAGAGCTGGTGGGATGAAGCAGTGAGCARTGACAGTGTCACATGGCAGAGATGTCCTTGGCTGCTTCTGGCATTTCTCCAGTTTTCTGTGGGATCCCAAGTCACTGTGACTGTCAGCCCTTACCCTGTGGGAATTCCTGTGGGAATACCATCTGGAATGTGAAGGATGCAAACCTGAGTACAGGAGGGAGATGTGGCTCACTCACCCCATCACAACAAGGTGAAACCCAGCTTATCATGAAATTATTAAACATCATTAGAAAAACTGGAAATTGATATTTTGGAAAATAAACGCCCAAGGCAGGCTGTGACATGAGAGTGGTGGGTGGATCTGGTGTCTTGGCATCAGTGGTTTTACAGTTTTGGTGCAGCAGGTTCAGTCCCAGGTCAGTGCGATCCTTGGGCAAAAAAAAACCCTCAAAAAGGTTGTCCTTTCTTTCTGGTTCTGTCCCCAAAAATAAGGGGGGCTCTGGCAGGGGATGGACMGGGACCCTGCCAGCCAAATCCATCGTGTTTCTTACTCCATAGGGAAACCCAGCAGTGATCCAGGGGCTGCTGACACTCCCCATTACAGGGATGAGCCAGCTTAAACTGGGAATTTTCTTGGGTTTGGCTCATCTTTCTTTTGTCTCTCTGGCTGAACTCTGRTTCATCTCTGCACATCCAGGTGTCCTCATCTGCTTCCCTTGGTGWATCTGTTGTACTCAAGCTGCACATTTGGGGTCGGGGAATTTTTCTCTTGTTTTCCTGGCTGGAGATCCTCCCAGCCCTGCTTTGCCTGCAGCACCCCCAAAATCCTGCCTGTGCTGGGGAGGGCTCCCCTGGGCAGGAGGGGAGGCTCAGGGGGGCTGGGGGTGCCCAGGGTCCCCTCTCAGGTGTTGGGGTACCTCAATACCCCAATACCCACAGACCACTGTCTCTGCAGGCATTAGATGAAGGTTTTCACTGTTTTTGCTTTGTTTTTCACAGCTTTAGCTGCCAGATTAGGGCTGGCAYCTCTTCCTGCCTTTGGAGGCACAGCCGTGCCCCTTTCCCACCCTCCCCAAGGGTGCAGAAAGCCTTTCCAGCAGCAGAGAAGGGATTTTCCTTGTCTTTATTGTGGCTGCAGGAATACAAGGGTGGCAGGGAGCTGTGGGCTCGGGGACACCTTCCATGTGCCAGATGTCCTCCAGCCCAGCTCCCTGGCGCTGTCCCCATCCCCATCCCGGTCCCCCTCCATCCGTGCGTGCCTGGAGGAGCCCTCCCCGCTGCCGGCCGCGGTCCCTATGCCAGCAGGCAGGGCTCCCTCTTGCACGCCTCTCCCAGCTCCGAGCTCACCTGGAAAAAGGGAAAAAGAGCCGAGGGGCAGCCCCGGGTGTGGGGCGCGGCCCCGCAGAGCGCAGGGTGCGGGGGGCTGTGGCTGTACCTTGGAAGMGCAGAGGAGCGGGGGAGCGTCGGGGAGGCAGCAGGAGGAGGCGAAGGACACTCTCTGCTCCAGGAGCTGCTCCAGCGCGGCCGGGCTGACCTCGGGCTCCGCCTGCCTCAGGCTCTCCCGCAGCCTGCGGGGTTATGGGGGCAACCGTGGCTTTCCAGAGCCGCACGGCTTTTGGGGACGTGTGATGTGCTTCTGCTGCTACGGAGCCTCAAACCCACCCATCTGTGCATTTGGGACCAATTTGGATTGCATCCCCCGATCCAGGTGGGGTTTGTGGGCTCACCTCTTCTTGAACTCCAGGTAAGGCAGCTTGGTGTACTGGCTGCAGAGCTGGCTGGCCTTTTCCAGGAGGGGAGACAGCTCTGCTTCCATCCGCTTGAGCTGGGGGCAGAGGGTGCGTGTCACCAGGCTGGGAAAAGCCTCTGCGGGGATTTGGGGGGCACAGGGATGAGGGGGAACAGGATGAGCCCTCTCACCCCACTCACCTTGCTGTCCAGGCACGCAGAGGGGTCCTTGCTGGAGCAGCATTCCCCCCGGAGTTTCTGGGAGRAGTCGTAGAGCTTGGCGAGGACGGCGTCGGGGAGGCTGGGGTGCCTCCGTGCCAGCTCAAACAGGGACCTGGAGCGGGAAAACGAGATCTCAGGTGAGATTTTATTGTGGGTGCTGCTCAGAACGGTGTGGGGGCTGCTTCTGGCATCTTTGGGGGCACAAATTCCCCTGAGGGAATCCAGGGTGCTCCCCTGGTTATCCCAACAATAACCAGAGCACATAACAGGGTCAGGAACTGGTTGGACTCGATTTTTGGGGTCTTTGTCACCCTCAGTGGTTCYGTTCCATGATCACAGCCTGGCTGCTGTGGGTACCACTCGCCTGCTGGCGTGCAGAGCCCCCTCCTTGCCGCACAACTCCTTGCTGGTGGGCTCTGGTGCCTCTGGCAGCTCAGGAGCGGGCTCTGGTGGCAAGGCCAGCATGCAGAAAAGGTTTTCCATCAGGTTTTTGCCCTTGCAGCAGTTGGCGAAGCGCCCGTCCCGGGCCGACAGCGCAGTGCAGACTTTGGCCGTGTGCTCCAGCAGCTGCAGAGAGGGAGCAGGGGATGTGCTCAGCTCCCAGAGCTCCTGCTGACACTCAGGGGCTGATTTTGGGGTGGGCTTCAGGCTCCCCCACCTTCTTCTGCATACAGTCCTCGGCCACCGAGTCGCAGCACTGGGAAGACACCTCGGCAGCGTCTTCTGCCAGCGGGAGAAGATCCTCGAAGGAAGCAGTGGGAACCTTCTGAGCCAGCGAGGTCAGGTAGCTGGGGAGAATARGATGGGTGAGGGGCTCAGGGGGCTCAGATCCCCCTTCCCGGGGCACAGCTCCGAGCAGGGGTGCGAGGAGGAGGGAGGAGTGAGGAGCACAGGGCTCCAGCATCCCCAGGGATTTACACCGGAATTAAAGCTTGTCTTTCTGAATGCTGCCTGCAAACAGGATTTGCAGAGGAGCCCTCTCCCAGCCCGGCCCTGCTCCAGGATGGAGAGGMCATTTCCCCCTGTACCTGGAGGTGACTTTGTCCTTCCCATACGCCGAGAAGCGGGAGCACATCCGGTTTGACATCAGGGTGAGTAGGGAGAGGGTTTTCCTCTCCAGTTTCTGCCACGAAAATTAAACAGAYGTRTCCTYCTCTTCCCGGGGCCATCAGCACAGYGCTCACCCGGCTCTCTCGGGAGTGAGGGTGGGAAGGAGCCCGGTGCTCCAAAGGGTCTCACCTCCTTCAGGAAGCAGGCAATGGGGGCAGGGGAGATGCAGCAGGTGGAGACCATGGAGAGGAAGGTGCGGGTGGAGCTCAGGAGCACGGGCAGCGGAGCCTGGCTGTAGCTGCTCGAGTATTCATACAGGAACCTGCGGGAGAGGGGGCTTAGGGACACCCAGCGCTTTGGGACCAGGGCATTGGGATAACAAGTGGGGTTTGGATTGTTTGGGATGTTCAGGGATGGGAGCCTCTCCAGGTGCCACCCTGAGCTGTGCCCCGGGCTCACCCTGCCTTACCTATCCGCAAATTGCCTGGGATCCTGGCGGAAGGCGWGGCACAGCTCCGTGTCGGAGGGCTGCAGGTACCGTGCCAGCGGCTGGGGCGGGTGCCGCAGGGCAGCCAGGCACAGCTTCCTCTCCAGCCCCTGCTGCGCACAGCACTCGGCCGTGCCGGGGTGCGCCGGGAAGGGCGAGTCCGCGCTGCACGATTTCACCGACAGAGCCGTGGACTGCGGGGGAGAGGAGGTTATGGCCGCCCCATCCCATTCCAGCTCCGCTTTGGGGTCTATTACCCGTTTTTGGTCAGCCTCACCCCAGCATCGTAGCAGGAGGGGTCGGCCCCGTCGGCACAGCAGGTCTCGGCCAGGGAGACGATTTCCCGGACGAGGTGGCCGATCTCCTCGAAGGTGCCGTTGGAATATTTGCGGCTGTTGGCGATGATGGTCCTGGGAGCAGGAAGCAAGGACAGGGAGAGCCAGGTGAGCCTTTTTCTTCATTCAAAAATCACAGCACTGCTCTGCCTGTGGTGGTACCGCGAGAAATAACTGCATATTCCTTGGAAAACAGCCAGGAAAGAATTGGAGCAGCTTCCCCCTTACAGGGGATTATGTGGCAGCTCTGCTAGAATTCCTAATCATTTAGCCACTTAATTGGTTTGGAGGAGTTCAACAATGAGTCAAACTTTTTTCCTGCTAAGAGCAATCAGAGTCCAGGGGCTGAATTGGTGTGTTCCCTTTTTGATGAATTGAATCCATCTTATTTTTTTCCAAGATTCCTATTTACTGGTTTTTGTTCTTGGCTCAGGTGCCAAGCACCCCAGGAGGGCACCAGGGGGCAGGAGGTACCTACAGGGTTCGGAAGTTCTCCTTGCCCAGCATCCTGTACTCCTGGCAGACTTTCTCCCGGACATAAGCTCTACCTGAAAGTGCAGGAAAAGGAGGAATTGTGAGTAGAGAACAGGGGTGCTCTGCCACCACAAAACACGGTGCTTTATTCACTTTGTGAGGTTTGTTCGTTTTTTCACTCTTATTTCTTTTCCCAAGCAGGATTTGGTGGTCCATGGCAAAGATGTTGGCACAGCCGGTGTGGGAGAAGCATCCCTGGTATCCAGCTCTGCAGTCAGGAACAGGGACAAGAAGAAAACCTTCCCTGGAGCTGGGAGAGCTACAGGTAAATCATACAGCAATTTTTGAGTTTGGAATATGTGGGGTTGGGTTTTCTGGCAGGGCTGGGAGCTCTGGAGTCAGGTCCACAGAGCAGCCAGCAGTGCAGACATTCCCAGYAACGCTCTCATCCCTGGAAAAAGGCTGGGATCAATTTGTGTCACAGACTCTGTGGGGTCAGACTTTGGCACCGGCAGGGTAAACACTGATACCGCTGTTTCCTGGGATTTCACTGAGGGGCAGGGTCACCTCTGCAAAAYGCAGGGGTTTGGCCGTGACACTGAGGGTCACATCGCTCTGGAGCGAAGGGAAGGTGAGGGGAAGGGGTGGTTGTTGCCAAAAAGGGGAAGCCATGGRAAAGGCCGGTGCTTTCCTGGCAGGAATGTCAGCTGTCTGTCCCCACTGCTGGCATTTCTGTTCAATTCCATGAAGCCATGTGTGAGAGGAACGTTTCAGGTGTTTTTTGGCAGGTGGATGATTCCCTGCRGAGCTGGGAAGGCAGCAAAGGGCGGAATCGTTGCCATGGAGGGGTGAGTTTTACAGATGAATGGGGCTTTTACAGGAAAAAGGAAATCCCATTTTCCTTTAGCAWGAGGAGCCAATCCCTGCAKCTCTGCCCTSTYCCCMTCCCATCTCCTCCAGCATCACCCYAAAGTGCATCCCAGACACCAAACCRTCATCCCACCCGTTCCCTTTCCTCTCTGCTCCTGCCCAGCYGTTTGGCAGCCTGCTGGGAAGAGGGGATGCCCCCAAAAATCGCCAGAACTGAGGCCCCCAGCCCCGAGCCCCTCTTCCCAGGGCACAGCAAGGCCCCGGGATCACGGCCTTACCTCGGTGTGCCGCCTGTGCAGTGACCAAGAGCAGCAGCAGGGCCAGAGCCACCCTCATGTTGGAGCTGCCTCCCCTCCTCCAGCCGGGAAGCRGCGCTGGGAATCCCATCCCAGTGTTTATATGGAGGCAGTGTCAGCCGGCGGGACAATGATTAATCCCAGAGGGCAAGCATCCTTGGCCTGGCTGCCAGTGTCTCTGAAATCCACCCGTTTAAATCATTAACTCGGTGAAACAGGGATGGCTGGCCAGGAAACATCGGCATCAGGTCTCATTCCTGCCACTGCTGGGTTGGGCATTCCTGCACCTCTTTCCCAGATTTCTGCTGGGGGTGTTGTCCCTACAGCACATCTTCCCGTTTTTCCCTGGAAAAATAAAAATTCACTATGTTCTCATCTTTTAGGATCCAAGTCTAGAAAGAGGAGAAGATTCAACCAGAGTGATATTCACTGGTCCTGCCTGGGGAATTGAGGAGAGGGAAGCAAATATGAGGAGAGGGAGCAGCAAATAACTGTTGCAACCTCCAAATCTGCTCASCCTCCCCATGCACTGAGCACTTCCCTTAGACCACATTCCCTCGCAGACCACATCCCCTGGGATGAAGACAGACGTGGTTTTTATGGCAGAACCCAGCTTTTTCTCCCAGTGCTCCGCACTGACACTGAGCTGCAGCTTGTGTCCAATCCTGCCACKGCAGGAGATAACAATGTCCTGTTCTTGACAGTTTATGCGTGAAAGGTGAAAATAAAGAATGAGAAATTGATGGAACGGGTTTTGCCTCTGGAAAAACTCTTTTACATGAACTCTGTCATGCTTTCATGCCGTGGCCGGGGGGTGGGAGGGCAGAGCTCAGAACGGCTCTCGGGGTTGGGGAACCCGGGTCACCCCTTGAGAAGGCCATGTCGGCACAGGTGTGAGAGGCACAGGCGGGCGGGAGCGGCAGGGAACGGCCCCGGGAAGGGAGGCACAGGCGGGCGGGAGCGGCAGGGAACGGCCCCGGGAAGGGAGGCA